ACTGGCAGAATTGGTTCTATCATGTGTCTAAAAGTAACAAGATACATAATTTTATGGGACACCTGGTCATCTTTCTTTGCAGGGCTTATGATGATGAGCATAAGCCAAAATAACACTGAAGATTTGTGAAGAAGCTTATCTAATATCTATCTTTTGCAGAGAATGGAGAGGTAGAAAAATTCTTTGACATTTGACAGCATCCTCCAAACACTTAAATCAATCAGTGGTTTTCAGTTACTTTAGTGTGAAGATGGGCAAAAAGAAAGATTAAAAATATGTTGGAAAATATCATTCTAGATTGAGAAATGAAAAATATCAAAGGTTCATTGACTATGTAGGAGCTTCATGCCTGTATATCATGAATACTTTCTTTAGGAAGAGAATCAGGCTGTGTCGCACTTTGAAGTCATCAAACGTCACTCTAAGTTTAAATTGACTATGTAATAATAGATAGGAAATAATGGATTGTTGATGTGTGAATAATTTCCTAATCAGCTGTCTATGCAGAATTAATATCTGCACCAAATTAGAATGAGAAAGATGTGAAGAAGGTAATTAAAACATCTTCCCTCTGACCAAACAGGCTGTTGACAGCAAAATGGGAAATGGATAAAGTAAAAAACATCATCAGAGACTATCATCAAAAGTTTAGTCCATATAAGGCAATTTCCTCTATATATGAAGGTCAACAAAACCAAAAAAATCATTGCACAACCAAACACTGGATAACTTTGCCAAGCAAGAGAACAGCTAATGTCAACGCTATATGTAAACTTATTTGTAAAATATAAGAGTAGCAATCAAATCATAAAACATCAAAGTGATGGAGAGGGAAATGAATCTGCAAAAATCTTGGTTTGACATTGAATCATCTCTCTAATCTTATTCCTTACACTGCCCATGTACTCTTCTACTCAGGGGCACTGTCTTTACTGTTCCTTGAACAAGACACTCCATTTCCCAATTCTGGGAATTTTTGCTAGCTGGAACGTTCTCCCTCCTAGTCTGTACCTCCTGGCTTCCCTTGCTTCCTCAAATCATAACTAAAATTCCTCCAGCTACAGGAAGACTTTTCCAATTCTCCCTAATTTTAATATCTTCCCTCTGTTGCTTATTTCCTATTTATTTGTGTTTGCACATAAGTGTTTGCTTGTTGTCCCCCATTAGATTGTGAAACTGGACCACTAATCCCTACACACCTACATACAATACCTGCAGCTACTGACTTATTTGAAAGTATAAGATACCTATGTTTTATTGTTTTTGTGACCCCATTTGGGGTTTTCTTGGCAAAGATACTAAAGTGATTGGCCATTTTCTTCTCTAGCTCATTTTACAGATGAAGAAACTGAAACAAACAGGGTTAAATGACTTGCCCAGGCTAAGTGCCTGAGGCCAGATTTGAACTCAGGAAGATGAAGCCTAGCACTCTATTCACTGTGCCACTTAGCTGCTCAACATATTTAGTATAATGTTTATAGGGGATTTATGAAAAGACACAGATATAAGAATCCCACAGTGAGAAGGCAGAAATGGATTGTGATGTGCTTTTAGGAGAAGATCTATCCGAGTATCAGAGTAAATACCCTCATTCTCAGCTATATTCTTGAGTGTTAAGGTGCCTTGATAATAAGAATAATTGAAAAACTGTGCTATCTGAATTTCTTTCTGGTAACAAGACCTGAATCATTCTTGGCAAATGCAGTAGTGAAAAATACTGAGAAAAACTGCTCATGTTTTTGAAGAACACTTTAATAACCTTTTAGTCCACTTACAAATAGCCAGGTCTATGCTAGAACCAGTTCAAACTAATGAGAGCTTATTGTTAAATTTCCAGTGTGAGCATTTAAATCTCTGGAATCCACAATTACTACAAATCAGCATGTGATTTATTGTTCCCCATACCCCAAATTACATATTGCAAATTGAAGTATACAGAATTTTTGAAGGATTATTAGGAACTAGATTACTGGTCTTCATAATCAATAAGTGATGTCCTCTTATACTTTTTTCTATTTAATTAGTCAGAAGTGATATAGACCTAACAACAGGAAGACATCCAAAGAAACCAGTTTTTTATTATTCTTATGTCACTTATCAGGCTACCTTAATAATTTGGAATATAGTAGAGAATGAGGATACTTACTCTGATACTTCAATGGGTCTGTGACTTCACCTTTGTAAGAGATCAAAATCCATTTCTATCTTTTCATGTTATAGAATTCTTTAGGTCCTTTCATAAATCTTTTATAAATGATATACTTGAAAATGTTTGAGGCTTCATTGATTCCAGGTCTTTGAAAAATCAATTCACCTCCTTTTCTGGTAAGTATTACATAGCTTCAATCTCTTTTCCAAACTTCTGCTTTCTCAGTACTATTTTTTCTTCTGTGGTTTTGAGTGGAAATATAGCAGTTCTATTATCTGATGATACTTATCTAATGATTAGTATAGATAACTATAGAGACATTTCTGTTTACCTTCTTTTTATTTTGAGGTGTTAATGCTTATGCAATAATTTGACTTATTTGAGTCTCATGCCAAGCTTTATGAAGCTATTGATTCCCCTTACACTGCTTTTCACTGTTTTCCGAGATGATATTGTTTCTAATCTTCTATCATATTCCTCTTAGATATTGCACAGGACAGCATATATCTTAAACCAATGTTACCCTTGCCTTCCAATGTCTCTCTAGTTGGCAAAGATATCAGAGTGTCTATTTGGTTTAGGTGTGTTTTTGGGGATTTTGTTGTTCTCTCATGGCAATTATTTTTATGCTTGAAACCTCTTTAAAAAATGGCAAAAACCAGTCAACATTAATTAAGCACTTACTATTTGTTGCTGTCAAGTAGCATTGGGCACTGGGGACACACACCCAAAATAAAATGTACCTTGTCCTCAAGGAGCTTACATTCCATTGGGGCAAGGTCTGAGCCTCCATTTATTACCATTTTCAATATCTTTCCAAAATATTGGAAATTCTAGTGGATAAACTTTATAGGTTATCCGTCCATCTCATGAGTGCTAGATTGTGAATTAGAGAACCTGGGTTCAAATTTTAGCTTTGCTGCTTATTGTCTGGGTGACCCTGAGCAAGTTTTTTGCTTCCTTTTTGATTCTTTTGTTTCTTTTTTTTTCAGTTTCCTTATCTGTAAAAAGGAGGGAGCTGGACTAGATGACTTCTGAAGTCTCTTTCTGCTTTGAATCCGTGTCCTTTTGATCCTATCCTAGTCTGAACAATAGAGATATTTGTTATCTGCTTGGTTTTTCCTATGTGGATAGATAGCTTAAACTCTTTTGAACAATTATATATCTTCTTTATGAAGCTCTGCAATATTTTGGGTCTTGTTTCAGTCAGTACAATGTCATCTGCAAGTGTAGTATCTGGAGGACCTTGCTATGTATGAGTCTTTCATTAATTTTGACTGTGTACTACACATCCTCCTTGATAGTGTCAAACACTTTTAGTGATCTCATGCCTCTATTTTATGCCTTACTTTATATTAATAATGAAGGTCATTGAACAATGTCATTTTTCAAGGAATCTTGTATAATTTTTATGAGAAGCACCTTATTAAAAGGAGAATTTTCAAGGCAGAGTTTTGTTCTCTAGATTAAATATTTTTGTTTTTCTTTTGTTAGTTAAATGATAAATACTATGGGATTCCCTCTCCTCTCCTCTTGCATTTACTATAGCCAGTTATTCAGATCCTTTCTTTACTAACACAGAATATTCAAATGAACCCTTATCCTTAATAGTAAAAAATTTCAAGGTCCTGATCCTTTTTCTTTTTTTTTCAGTTTTCTAACAAATTAACAATTCTAACAGTAAATCTCTTTTGCATTTGGATATTTTGATGTGACATTACTTGACACTTTTTTAAATCTCTTTAATTAACGCTTATGAACTAGACCTCTAGTTTTTAAAATTGTACATAATTGTTAGCCATTATTTCTTTCATGCAATTATCCCTTAATACTACTTAAGACTGTTAAAATGATACTTTTGAGAAATAGAAGCATAATATGTGAACTCATGGTAATTTTTGATGATCAGTTCTAAAAGTAATTTTTTAAAATGAATGCAATTCTCAGAACACTTAATTCTTCACAGAAGTTCATTGATTATTGTTAATATATTATTAAAGGCAGCTGGTGACATAGTACTGAGCCTAGAGTCAGGAAGACCTGAGATCAGTTTGGCCTCAGACACTTACTAGCTATGGGACCCTGTTTCCTCAACTGTAAAATGGAGATAATAAAAGCTTGTACCCCACTGGGTTGTTGTGAAGATTAAACAAGGTAATATTTGCACAAAGCATTTAGCACAGTGCCTGACACTTAGTAGGTACTACATAAATGATTATTCCCTTCCCCCATTGTTAAATAGTAAGACCAGAAAATGCTACAGTCAGCCAATCAAAAAGTATTTACTATTTACTGTGTCCCAGTCTCAGTGCTAAATGCTGAGATAAAAGTGAAAACAGCCCTTGTCTTTAAGGTGTTCACATTATAATGAGGTAAACAGCATCTAAATAACCAGGCACATTCAAGATATATGCAGAACTCAAAGAAATACTAGTAATGCCTTTTTTCTTGGCCAGATCAAAGGGTGCTTAGAATACGCTATATGATAGAAACCAGCACATCAAAACAGCTTTTTTGTGTGTAAAATAGAAATGTAAATCTGTCAGAGCAGCTGTAGGTGTTGTGTCCTACCAGTTCCCTTTCCTTCCTCAATTTGCATGCCATTAAGCACTGAGCACCACGGAGTCCCTCAAAGCACAGCTATTTGCTACATCCTGTGGGTCCTTTTGAGGATTCATGGACTTGCATTTAACTGGGTGCATGTAGCAAGTTTATCTAAAATGTACTTAAGATAATGTTGATGGAGCGAAAATTACTTAACTGTGAAAACTGAATAGAACTAGAAAATAAATCTTGATTTTAACTTAAAGAATTCTTAAAAATATTCTTTTCATGTCTCTTTAAATCACAGAGACACAAATCTAAGCCTTATTCAAAAAAACAGGAAGTGAGTCACCTTCTTTGGCACTGCATTATTGTTTGGTCTTGTGTACAGAGCCACAGGTCTCAGTTAAATGAAGTACTTGAACATCTCCTCATGCATAAAGGACAGCTTCAGGAAAAATTCTGGTAAGGGTTCTCTTTTAAACCTGTTGGAACACAGGAGCAACTTTTGTGCTTAAATATTAAACAGCCTTTTTGTTTAAATGTTAATCACACCTTATCTGGCAATGAAAATAATTTATAATCACAGTGTGAAGACCAGAGGCCATTTATATACTTTTCTTTAGTTCATTTTCTCCATAAATTGTTTTTAGCTTTTTTTTTTTTGCAAAATCTTCATGACATGCATCGCAATTTGTCTTAACTAAAATTTGTTATTGATAACATCTCAATTCCAGCATTTTAAACCACCTTAATTTTCCATGTAGTAAATGTGAGCATGAAATATCATATATCATTCTTCACATAAATATATTTTCAAAAAAGTTTTGTGAAGCATAACAAAAAAGAAACGAATCTTGAATGGTGAACATTATTTCCTTTCTGGAACATGGTTTTGAAAACTCACATTAACTTGCATATTCAATTGGAAAAGAAAGCTTTAAATCAAACTCAGAAGACCACTTGAGGTGAACTAGGGAGGAAGAATGAAAATGAGGCAATTGGCAGAAAAATGGCCGTAGATGATCACTCATAGAGCGATCTTTGTGTATAAAGGCCCTCCAAAAAATGATTGTCTTCCTGAAAGAGAATCACACTTTCTAATTATTTGTTGTTGTTGTTGCCCCTATGAACAGCAGTAATATGTATCCTTAAGGCAGGATGCAGTCTGACTTCTCTTAAAAGATTTCCCCCACTATTGTCAGTTGATTTTAAGCCACTTGGAGATATATGCCCACACCTCTGAGGCCAGACTGTGAAGTATCTCAGAACTAGTAGATTCAACTTGCAATTAGAGCAGAATTAGGTAACACCCCACACCCAACACCTCATTATCAAAACCATCTCTGGAAATCTGAAGGATTCCTGACTCTTTGTGACCTGATTTGGGATTTTCTTGGCAAAGATAATGGAGTGGTTTCTCATTTCCTTCCCCAGATGAGGAAACTAAGGCAAACAAAGCTAAGTGACTTGCCTAGGATTACATAGTTAATAAGTGTCTGGTGCCAAATTTGAACTCAGATCTTCCTAACTCCAGGCCCAGCTCGCTATCCACTGTATCATCTAGCTGGCCCTGTCACTCTTCAGATGGTTTCTTTACTGGTAAAATAAAGAGGTTGGCCTATATAATTGTTCGGTTATTTTTTCACTCTAAATTCTGTGATCATTCCTCGTTGTGGATACAATAATATGTGATCATTTTTTTTTCATCTTATAGAGCTTTTGTAAATTCATACACTGTACTTCATAAAATCTCTATAAAAATTTTATATTTTCAAGTAGGCCTTAAGTTGGTGTCAACAAAGGCAAACATGTATTGATTCTATAGGCATTAGGCAAAAAGGAACTACGAGTTGCCTTTGACTATCTAATTGTTTTTACTTTTTAATGAACTGACATTTTATTTTTCATAGAATTTAGTGGCTTTGCTTTTTAATTATTTAGGCTGGATTCAATCCTTGGTTTGTTTATCCTTGGAGATGCTGCAAAATTGAACACCTCCTGCTTAAAAGTTTTCCTGAATCTTGGGAAATTTTTTATTTCAAGCTGTATGTCTCCTCAGAAGCAGGTAACAGCTAACTTAAATGTGATCAAGGGGGTTTTCTACAACTATAGTTCCTGTTAGTGTGCTCCCCCCATGAATATTAGTTGGTTTCAATTAGTCAGCCACATATAATTAGCTTTAAGAAATAAATATTTGCTACAGGGATACAGTTGGTGAATGACGTTCCCCACCCCTCCTCTTACCATAAGTACTGGGGCCAGTGGACTGGGACTGAGAGAGTATAAAAGACAAAGGGGTGAGTCCTTCTGTAGGAACTCTCAAGATTTTGCCCTAAGGATAGGGTTGGTGAATTAGAGCCTCAGGGCCAAATATTATTCTTCTAGGCCCCTGAGCTAAGAATGGTTTTTAACATTTGAAAACAAAATTAACTTTATTTTAAAATGTAAAAGACTTTTTTGGGGGCCTTACAAAATAAATAGTATAATGGATTTGGGTTCTTCTCACTTCACTCTGCATAAATTCTTTTAGATCTTTCTAGGTTTTTCTGAAAAAAATCCTGTGGTCAAAACACAAAAAAATGTACAAAAACTTTTGCAAAGATGATTCAACTCATCATCAGTGCATAGAATATGCACACATTTATGGACATCATTAAATCCAGCAGATCAAAAAGACAAACAGAGCTTGTTGTGAGACAACTCAGCAATTATTGCATCCAAATAGAAGCCTTGAGTGAGACAAGGATAGCAAATGAAGGCTAGCTTATCAAAGTCAGCAGTATAAGCTGGCCACAGTGAAGGGGAACACTGTGAAGCTGGCATAGGTTTTGCAATCAAAAGCAAACTAGCCAGCCAACTTGTATGCCTACCAAAAGGAGCAAAAGACAGGTTTATGACAATGTGATTGCCACTTGCAAGAAAGCTCCATGCTTCCACCGTGACGAACCCTCATGAAGTCAAAGAAAATTTTTATAAAGATCTGGCGACCTTCAACATCAATGCGATGAAAGAAGATAAGCTTATAATTCTGGGTGACTTTAATGCAAGAGTAGGAATGGGAAGAATAGAGTTGGGAACAGCAGCAGTAATGATCACTCACTACTGAGGACCTGGGCATCTCGTGATCTTCTCATCACCAACACTGTCTTCCATTTACCTAAATGAAATAAAACTTCATGACCCTCACAGCAAACATTGGCATTTAATAGGCTATGTCATTGAAAGCTGAAGAGACAGACAAGATGTGTGAATGATGAAGGCAACATGTGGTGCAGAGTGCTGGACTGATCGTAGATTTGTCCTCCTCAAGCTGAACATTCAAAATCAACAAAAGCAGCAAACCCCAGAGTAAGACAATAACCAGAATACTTAATATCAGCAGATTAGAGTTCCCACTTCTCCAAGTGGGAATAGTTCATTGCTAACTTGGAAGGAAGGCTGAGCCAACATATGGTTGGTAACGGTGGAGAAGAAAAGGAAGGGGTAGCTTTCAGAGATTTAGTGTACAGTACTGACAGAACACTTGCAAAAATCAAGATTAGTTTGACAGAAATGATAAGGAAATTCAGAAACTGCTAAACAAAAAAAACAAGAACTCAACAGGGTTTACCAGCGGGATTGTTAACCTGTCTCTGAGAAGGCAATGTTTAACTCCATCAAAAAGCAAATTGCAAGTGAAGCTCAGAGAGATGCAGAATTCTTAGATCAGTAAGAAGCCAGATGAAATTCAGTTTTACACTGATAGTAACAATCTAAAGTGCTTTTATGATGCCCTGAATGCTATTTATGGGCCAAAGACCTATAGTGTTTCTTAGCTATTCAGTGCTGTTGGAGTCAACATTGATTAGTAATAAGGAGAGATGGGCTGAACACTTCCACAGTGTTCTCAATGGATTCTCATCAATCAGTACTGAAGCCATTCTCTGTAAACCTCAGGTTGAAGTCATCTTTCTCCAGTCAAACTTCCAACTAAAGAAGAGGTTTTGACTGTCTTTTGGATTCTTTCCTATGGCAAAGGACCTGATACGGATTCTATTCCAGCTGAGATTTACAAGGCAGAGGGTCCACTGCTCATACAAAAGCTGACTGAAATTTTCTGGATTATATGGCAAGAGGAGGTTATCCTTCAGGAGTTAAAAGATGGCTCCACTGTCTATTTCTATAAAGGTAAAGGAAATCGGTTGTCCAGTGTTTGGGAGGCTCTGAAGGAAAGTGTGGGAGAGAAGAGGTATTAGGCTGCCTATCAAACTGAAGGTCTACAGAGCCATTGTCTTTACCTCATAGTTGTATGCCTTTAAAACCTGTGTGGCATACCAGAGCCATGCCAGGAAATTGAATTGCTTCTATTAGAATTATCTTAGGAAGATTCTGAAGATCACCTGGTAAGATAAAGTTCCTGAAACCAAAGTCCTTTTTTGAGTTAAACTGCCAGGCATTCAAATTCTGTTGCAGAGAGCTCAACTTCTATTGGCTGGCCTCATTGTTTGAATACCAAATATACCCTTGCCTAAAAGACTTTTACAGAGAGCTCACACAAGGTAAGCATTCACAGATGAATGACCACATGAAGCAAACACACATGAAGACCAGAAGAAATGATACAAGGATACTCTCCAGGTCTCTCTATAAAATTTTGAAATTTATTGTGTGACATGGGAGACACTGGCAAAGGACTGCCCAGTAAGGCATGCCTACATCAAAGAAGGTGCTGTGTTCTCTGAGTGAAGCGGAATTGCAGTAATTCAAAAGAAATATGAGATGTGTAAATTTAGAGATATTTCCACCTTGAATATTCACGTGGACTATTTGTAGCAGAGCCTTATGAGCTCATATTGGCCTGATCAGCCACAGCTGGACATACTATATCTTGACTCCAACATAATAATGTCATTTTGGTCCTCTTCAAGAAGGTTCAAAAACCAACCAACCAAATGTACCAAATATTGTAGTTAATTTGTCATGTAAAATTCTAGGATGTTTTTTAATATATACCTATGTGTAGTTATTTTGCTAAAATCTCAATCCTAATAAACCACAAATAAGATATCTAAGAATTTTTTTGCATATTAGGAAGAAAACAAGGATAATGACTCTTCATGGGAGTGGATTATAGCCTACATGTATACAACTATTCTTGGAGACATTTGTCTGCATGCAACTACATCCAATTTACGGAAAATTGCTTTCATGGGCTTCAGTGACTGTGAAAAACTCTCAGAATATCTAGAACTAAAAAACACAGAATCAACAGAACCTGTGGAATTAAAGACAGCAAGTTTTTTAGACCTTTTAAAGTATTTCTCTTCACAAATATCAGATAACTGTAAGTATAAGCATTTGTATCTTATCAATTAGTTTAAAAAGCTGCAAATTTATATGTATTTATCTGTATGTGTACATTGACATATGCAATTTAGCTTTTTGAAAACAGTTGTGATAGAGAAAATTTAATCAATATCATGTTATTGTTCTAAAGAGAATTTGGTAGAATTTTCCAAAATATTTAAAAATAAGCACTTTCCAACAATGAGAATTTTAAAGTCCTTGTAGTACAAAACATTTAGCAATAACATCAATCAGGATTTTTCATGATGTTTTGTATGACTGCAGATGTATAACCTATATCAAATTGCTTGTCTTCCCAATGAAAGGGAAGGGTAAGAAGTGGAGAGGCAAAATTTGAAACTCAGTTTTTAAAAAAAAAATTTAAATGAATGTAAAAAACTGTTTTCACATCTAATTGGAAAAAAAACACAAAATATTTTAGATATTTTATGAATATAATCCTAATTCCTGAAACCAGGATTGACTCTAGGCACAATATGAAGTAGAGGATGTTAATCACCTTTAAACTCCTCCTCTTGGGTGGAGCCTAGAAAGCTAGAAGCCTAGAGTAAAGGTAGCAACACAACCAAACTCACCCAACATTCCCCTCCAAACAATTTTAATATAATACATCAAATTGAATTCTATATTGACACTGTCACCAAAAGGTCAGGGTGGGACCTAGAAAGTGGATCAAGGAGAGATGATTTAAGAATTAATAGACTGGGAGTAGCTAGGTGGCACAGTGGATAGATCACTGACCCTGGAGTCAGGAGGACCCGAGTTCAAATGTGGCCTCAGATACATAACGCTTACTAGCTGTGTGACTCTGGGCAAGTCACTTAACCCCAATTGCCTCACCAAAACAAACAAACAAACAAAAACCACAAGAATTAATAGAAGGCTTGAAAGCCACGGTCAATAATATAGCCTTGGCCTCATTTTTCAAGAAATTATGAAGAAAAACTACCCAAATATATTAGAACCAGAGGGCAAAATAGAAATCAAAGACGCCAAGTGATTAGGTTATCCAAGGGGGGAAAAAAAGATGTGAAGGTATGAGGAGCAGCTAGCTAAGTGGTGCAGTGGTTAGAGCACCAGCCCTGAAGCCTGGAGGACTGGAGTTAAGATCTGGCCTCAGACATTTACCAGCTATGTGACTCTGGGCAACTCACTTAACTCTCATTGGAAAGAAAGAAGGAAAGAAAGAGAGAGAGAGAGAGAGAGAGAGAGAGAGAGAGAGAGAGAGAGAGAGAGAGAGAGAGAGAGAGAGAGAGAAAGAAAGAAAGAAAGAAAGAAAGAAAGAAAGAAAGAAAGAAAGAAAGAAAGAAAGAGGGAGGGAGGGAGGGAGGGAGGGAGGGAGGGAGGAAGGAAGGAAGGAAGGAAGGAAGGAAGGAAGGAAGGAAGGAAGGAAGGAAGGAAGGAAGGAAGGAAGGAAGGAAGGAAGAGAAAAGAAAAGGAGATGTGAACTGGATTATAATCCAGTTAGGTAGATTTATAACTAATTTAATAACCAGAGTACTCAAAAGAGTTTTAATTTTATAAAACATTCTCTAGTTATATAACAACATAGGATCCTATTGTGTTTAACATTTTTAATTAAAGACTGATGGATTTATAAAGAGTATGCTAGTTAACTCTCCAGATGACACAAGCTTGGAGGAGATGCCTTGAAAATTGTATGACAGAGTCAAGAGCCCCAAAGATCTTTTCTAAATAGGCTGAAATAATTGACCAAATTTCAATAAGTTTAGATGTGCTTCAGTTAATTTGTCACTATTTAATTTAAGTTGTAAAATCAAAAATTTTTTATGAGAAAGTTTAAATTTAACTGGAATAAAAATTGTCCTTTTTTTGTGGCTGTGAGTATGTTTCTGCTGCTTATTACTTGTTTGTTATTGACCAGAGGAGTATTGAATGAATCTCTTTCTGTAGCTGCATCTGTTAGAGGCAATAAGGGAGCCCAGGTACTCGGTCTAAAATTAAGAGATCAAATCTGGTCCCAGATATTTACTAGCTGACCTTGGCACATCACTTAACCTCTGTCTGCTTTGGTTGCCTCAACTATAAAATGGGGATAATGGCACCAAGGTTATTGTGAGAATCAAATGAGATTATATTTTTAAAGTGCTTAGCCCAGTCCCTGGCACATAGTAGGTACTTAATAAATGCTTTTGTCCTTTTAGGGAGTTTTGCATGATTATAACATGTGCATTGAAAACAGCTTTTGGAAAAAAGCAGTTCATAGTGTAGACTAAAAAAAGATTTTAGAATTTTTTTCCCCCTTCTCACTTGCTGACTTTTTCTCTTCTGATGATGTTTTCTCTAAATGCTGTATTTGAAAGATTCTTAGCCACCTCCCACACTGGACAATTATCTGTTCACCAGTCTAGATCTCTTCCCTAAGAGATTCCTGGAGGGAATAAATGAGATGTCTTCATATGTGCTCATTGTTAATTGATATTACAACATGAAAAAAATAATAACATCTCGTTCCTGAGCTGGGATTAGTGAAATTTTGCTATTTGATGAAAAATCTGTTGAGACTATAATTTGATGTTATTTTGAGTTTTGATTTCAGGCATGATTGCCTCAATTGTCAGTAAACCAACAAATAGTTAACTATTTGAGGGAATATTATGTGCTGCCTAAAAGGAATGTAGTCTGAAAACTACTACACGGGGATGTTTCTACCTGGGAAAGCTGAGAGACAACATTCCATAGGCAAAGTTAGGATTCTCTTGACTCAATTTTCCCATTGTGGTATTTATTTTCTGAACAGGAAAATTTCTCCACCTGGTTAATTCTGAGCCTGGTTATGGTACCCTGTTAATAATGTGGAACTTTGTTGTATTATTGACTATTAACTATGGTTCTTACCTGGAATCAAACAGAGCTAAGGGAGATTTTCCCCTTTAATGGTTTATGTCAGATCAGTTCATGCCCTTGAAGAGACTGTTGTTGCAATACTAAATCTATCAATTAATAGATTAATAGTAAAATATCTGAGTTACTATCATGGGATGCAGAATGAAAGATCTTACTATTATTATTATTATTATTTTTTTTTTTTGGTGAGGCAATTGGGGTTAAATGACTTGCCCAGGGGCACACAGCTAGTCCCCTGCTCCACCTAGCTGCTCCGATCTTACTATTTTTAATCTGAAATTGTGGTCAACTCCATATCCTAAGCAGCTAAGGAAATAAGTTCTTAGATTTGCCATCCCCTTGCTACTAGTTATATATTCATGTATAATATTAGGTCCTTGAAGTATCTCATTCTTTTAGGATGATATGAGAAATACAGATATCTATAGATATAAGTATCTGTGTGAGTTTGTGTGTCTATATGTGTGTTGTGTGTCTATGTGTATCCTCAAAAGAGAGGGATAGGGATAAGCTATAAAAAAAGTTTCTTAATTTAATGGAGTGGTAAACTTTGAGAAAATAACAAAATTAGGCTGTTAGATATAAATGATTAACTTCCAGATGTTTCTAATAGGAATTGCAAATTTTGATTATGTTTTAATAAGTTCTCAAGATTGAATTAAAGATTTTACATATAAAATTGCATTAATAATTGTAAAGAAAATTTTGAATCATCTTTTTTTCTATTCCAAAATCTCTTTCTGATAACATTAAGGAACAAAAGAACTCATTTTTTTGAGTCATACCCTCATGAATCCTTTCTAAGATTCCTCCTGAAGCCTGTTGATGGCATATCCATAAGAGATACAGAGATTGGGTAAAAATAAAAAGAGCAAATGCTATATAAAAACTGAAATTCTCTGAAGTTTTAGGGAAATTATGGGTTCCTACTTTGGGGGTCTTTTTATAGATCTGTTGTTAATTTTGTCACATTTTACAAAATTATACTAAATCTTATCACTAGCAGGCTTAGTAGCATAACCTAGGGGATTTCTACAAGTGACTTGGAATCTAGAGATGGAATGAGGAAGTACCTCCTCAGACCTGCCCTGACCCATGCATAGATAGGTGCTGGAGAAACGCACAGGAGGTGCTTTCCAGAATCCTGAAGATCATGAATGCTGCCCAAAGACTTGACATCCCTGTAAGCTATAGCTATGCTGGATTTCTTTATTCATCCTATTGTAATCCTGCTTGTTTTATTAGTTCTCTGTGTTGTTACTTTTTCTGTAAGTTGCTTATTATTTTTCCTTGGGCTGACACTGACTTGTGAGCCTTGTACTGCAAGGTTGTCAGGCATGGTTTGCCCACAGTGTTTACGCAGAGGACCATCGAGTGGTCTCCAGCTGCCTTTCTTGTCAACAGCGTAAATCCTTGCAGAAGAGAACTATGAAAAAGAGGGGGGAAATGAGGACACTACCATCTGAACACCTTCAGACTGACTTTATTGGCTATGGATATATTTTGGTGTGCAGAGATCAATTGAGCCATTGGGTAGAAACTTTTGCTGCTGATAAGACACACTGCCACCAAGGATGCTGAAGAGATGACCTGGATCCATCACTCCCATGTGAAGCCTGCCATGATTGACTTCAGCCCAGCAGAAACAACCCCTGATTAGCCTCTGGACCCAGTAATCTGAAAAAGGACCACAACACTGATCAGTAATCTTTGGCTGCTTGTTAGTTAGATGCATTTGTTGTTTGCACTTGCACTCTTGGGGTTGGGAGACAAGGGGATCCCAAACTTATATGCATCTGATTCAGCAAGCCAGCCATGCATTTAACTAGGCCATCTGCTATGAATATGTTCACATGCCCCTTTGTCCTTGGGAGAAGGGATGCCGCTGATGGGCCTGGAGGAAGAAAACCAAGACTCATGTGATTATTATTTTGCAGTCAATAAGGCAAAATTAGATACAACACCAAATTGTGCTGTTGTGGGCTGGAAGAATGAGTCCTCCCACTCATTCACTTTTCTTTAAGAAAAGATCACTAACCTTTTGAAATTATCACCCCTCTTGAGTTTGCAACATATTGGCAAGTTGCCAGTTCTTTGTTATGAGCAAAAAGGAGGCAAGGTCAGGAAAATGGGGAGGTAATTATAACCTATCCCTGAAATGAAACGAGACCATTCAGAATGGAAAGGGCCTTCTGAGAATTTTTCTTAAGCTGAGAGGCCTGGCATACATGAATAGATTTTTAGGATAGCCTCACAGGGAATATATTTTCTGTGTAACAGAAAAGCTTATTACTGGCTCCCCTCAAATTGGATGGGGCAGTTGTGAGTTAAAGGAGGTGCTTTTTGGCCTCCTATCCACACCTACCCCACCTTCTAGCATACACTTGCAAGGCAGGTATGAAGCCAGTTAAGTTTCTGCTACACTTGCCCCTTAAGTGGGAGAGCCTGAACATATTTCCCTCCTCCCCCCATTATGTCACCTCTATATGAGACTGGACACAGTATAGTGCTAGTAAATGAAATGAACAAAAATTTACAAGTATTTGTTAATGAAACTGTAGGTTCAGTGGAAGACATAAATGCTGAGGTCCACGCGGTTGGGACTGTGGCCATACAAAATATGCTGGCTTTAGATTTTTCCTGGCAGAGAGAAAAGGGTTATTATGTACTTTTGCAGATCAAGAGTGATGCGCCTGGGTTCTTGACAACTTCAATAACATTCATGCCCTTATGGACTTGGTTTGGAAAGCCTGGAACAAATTCCAGGAGGATGGGAAGGAACCTTGGGCCCCATGGGAATGGCTGACCTCTTAGCTTTTGTGTGTCCTCACAGGGATTGTGTATTGCTTATGTTTACAGTGCCTCCCTTGATACAAAGAACTGATTCTCAAAACAACTCCCAAATTACAAGCAGCAGGGAATTGGATGATGTAGTTGAGGGCAGAAGAACAACATAGGTTCACTTGTGATGCTATGACATGAGTATGAGCACAAAATGGGGGTTGTGCAAAGTCTGCTACTAGTGCAGAATCAGTCTGAGTGACTCTATTTTAAACCTTGTTTAGACTTTGAGTGCATTTGTAGCCAACCTGCAGGAGGTGGTGGTCTGGAAATACTCCTGTGCATGTGTACTAATCTCATCTCCTATGATACCGTAATGAGGGAGGAGCTGAGGCAGCAATAATTCATAACACAATCAAAATACAATTGTCCTTATATGGAAGCTGTTTACTCCTCTCTATAAAAAGCAGCAATCACAGGCCACTTGTTGCCTTGTTGTGCTGATAAACTCGTAAGTCTTATTTCCTTAGTTTGCCTTATTGACCAAGGCTAGTCCAAACCAAGATTTTCTCTTAACAATTTCTTTTTACAATTGTAAAATCCTTATTCTTTATTTCATTTTTTAAAATTTTTCCTTAAAACATCATTGTATTTATAATCAATTTTATTGTATCTTGAAAAAAAGTGTACCTTTATTTTTGATGCTACTGTTGATATTGTTGATAAACATTTTTTCCAGGTATCTGCTTTTCTTAATATTTTTCTTTCCCGTTGTGTTAGGGATCTTATTTGATTTGCTTATTCCTTTCAATAATTTTAAATTTATTTTGAGAATTTTTAGCAGTTTTGATTCTTTTTGAAGAATTTCCATCATTTTGAGGGAAAGATTAAAGGTTCTTAAGCAGCTTTTCTCTCCTGTTTCAAATATTTATTTCTATGTACAACAAAAAGAGAATTATATCTATTTTTAAACATTATTTATAATATTATGTTAAAAAAACTTAAAAAACTACAGATAGTTATTATAGATTTGCAAACTCCATAGAAGTTTCACAGTAAAGTTTTTTTATTTTCCTCACTTATATAATCTTTTAAATAATTAAGATGACACATAAGAAGTTTCTGGTTTTTTTTTTAATAGATTGTCAAATGACCTGGACTGTTTACTATGGCTTAGTGTACAATCTAGTGAAAATGACCAGAGAACTCTATGAAGATGAGAGGCAAGATGGACTAAGAAATTTATTGTGGAAAACCTTACAGGGAATAAAAGATGAGGAGAAAGATAAGAGGATCTTGAGTGCTATGGATATAGCTGAGGTAGGTCTAAAGTCCAATAGATTAATTGATTTGCATGATCATTTATTCTTAACACCTATTTGTAAGGAATTTGTGATTTTTCACATCTGAAGATATGACTTAATATACAATTAATGTAATTGTAGAATTAAACATTGAAATAATATTATTTTACAATAAGGAAGAACTATCAGCTTTTTGGTGAAAATTGCATTAACAGTAGCTCATATTTATATACTGCTTTACAACTGACCAAATTCATTCCTTATTGCAAACAATATTATCTCCATTTCATAGATAATAAAATGGGCTCATACAGCTTTTGTAATTTGTCTAAGGCCATAATGTTAATAAGTGGTGGAACAAAAAGTAGATTTATTATTTTATTTTTCCCAGTTACATGTAAAAACAATTTTTAACATTTGCTTTGTAAAATTTCGTGCTCCAAATTCTCTCCCTCCCATTCCCACCCTCATTGAGGTGGCAAACAATTTGATACAGGTTATACAATTATCTCTTCCACATCATGACTTTACAGTTTCAATGTATCATCAGTTGGCATAAGAAATTAAATGGGAATTTTGGGGGAGTTTTGCTGAAGCCACAAATGATATGCAAAGGCCAGTGGATAATACAGAAAAAGTTTAGAAACTCAGAAATGTATAAAATGTATGTATAATATTGTTTAATATCAACCCAAATTTTGCAATAAGGTACTGTAAATACCTCATACAAGAAAAAGAAAAAAATTCAGACTTCTTTTCTGGCATGAAGGGAGGGCCAAGAATTTTTACACAGATTTTCCAGATTGCGGGAGTGATGTGTACATGTGCAGTCGTGCAAAACATATATTTGTTAATCATGTTGTTAAAGAAACTACAGACCCAAAAAACAAACAAGAAAAAAATGAAACAATAAAAGTAAAGAAAAAGTATGCTTTGCTCTGCATTCATACTCCCTCAGCTCTTTTTCTGAAGATGGACTGCACTTTTTATCATAAGTCCTTCAGAATTGTCTTGAATTATTGTATCGCTGAGAATAGCTAAGACATTTATAGTTGATCATCATACAATATTGTTGTTACCGTGTGCAGTTCTCTCTTGGTTCTGCTCATTTCACTTTGTGTCAGTTCATGTAAGTCTAGGTTCCAAGAGCATCTTGCTTATCATTTTTTGTAGTATAATAGTATTCCTTTACAATCATATACAACTTGTTCAGCCATTCCCTAATTGATAGACATCTCCTTAATTTTCAGTTCTTTACCAACACTAAAAGAGCTGCTACAAATATTTTTGTACATATAGGTTCTTTTCCTTTTTGTTTTTTACATTGAGATATTTCTAGTAAAACAGTTGCATGATTCTCCTATTGTTTATAACAGAACTCCTACAGGCACAAATGTGACTTCATTTGCATGCAACAAAAAGAAGTAAAAGAAACAAAAGCCTTGTTGATTTCTGCTAAATGAAAATTTTGTTGAAGGTGGGAGGAAATTGAGTGTTTATGAACTGTGAAAAGAAAACATTTGTCCTCAAGAAAGATCAGAATTTTGGGGAGAAGTTTTTAAAAAGAATAACAGAAAAACTATAAGTATAAGATTACCTGAGGAAGTAAAACATGAGATGTGAGCTACCAATCTAACAGATAAGTTTTCAGTATTCAAATTACTGACTAATGTAAAACGTAAATGCCTCTGAAAAGAAATAGGCTGACTTCAAAATACTCTGGGATTTGAAGTTCCTTGCAGTTTAGAAAGAGAGGAAAGTAAAGTGAGATAAACCTGAGCATGGGAAGTGGGAGTAAGGTGGATTTTTTAAATTTAGAACTTGCCTGGAATTTTGGAAACTCTTGAGGAAAATGAGGAGAAAAGAGAGGGAGAGGTGGCTATTCTTTCGTGGCAACAGCAGGAGAATATAGCAACAGCTGCTCCTGTTGGTGCCCACCACATCTGCAGTTCCTTTCTTTAAGATCATAAGAGGTGACATCCATATGAACAGACATGACAAGGAGTATATGTGACTGTGGTTTATTGAGGGCTCTTGAGCAGGAGCTAAAACAAAACAATGGTTGGGTCCTGACTTACCCCAGCCTTACTTCCATTCGTGTTTTTCTTAAATTTATTCTGCTAAAGAATATATTTGCCAGATTCTGTATTATTTTTGACCTGTGGTCAAATCTGTCTGTATATTGCTGGCATGAGGGCGCAATAGAAAATATGCAGGAGAGGGACCTTTGCTGGTGCAAGTTTATGAACTCAACTCCCAAAACCATTGTTATATAATATTGCTCTCACATACCATTTAATAACCACCTGTCTATTCCAAGTATAGAATAACTATAATTTGAGCATCAATCTACCTAATTGACATGACTCTGTTAAACAAGCATTGCTTGACCATATATGTAAAGGTTCTTTTTTTTTTTTTTTGCTTTTTAGGCAATTGGGATTAAGTGACTTGTCCAGGGTCACACAGCTAGTAAGTGTCAAGTGTTTGGTCTGAGGCTGAATTTGAGCTCAGGTCCTCCTGACTTCAGGGCCAGTGCTCTATCCACTGTGCCACCTAGCTGCCCCTCTTATGTAAAGGTTCTTGACAACATTCAAAAACTATTGGCAATATTGCCCACTCAGAACAAGTATAATGTCTCTTGAGTAACTAGATCCAATTACTTTTCTTCGTGTGGCTTTTTTTTAATGCAAAGAATATTAAAAGAAAAATCAGGTGTTCTTATTTTTTAAACTTATAGTTGTATAAAATTTAGAAAAAAGATTCCATGGTAAGGCTAGCTTTTTCTTCAGGAACTGAGAATAGGTGGGAGACTCAGTATGCATGGATTTCAAATATATAGCTAGGATAATTACAGCTCTGACCAGAGCACGGAAGTTTAGAGGATGCTGATTATATACACATTCCTTCAGTATCAGAGAAACGACTGATCTTAGCTCCTAGATAACAAGAATAATTAAAATAATTTAAAGGTATGGCTCTATTGGTTATCCTACCTTATTAAAAGTAATTGTTTTTGTTAATTGTTCAGTGTTTGAATCAATCAGTTAAAACCTAGGTGGTCTAAACCTCTTTCCACCAATCAAAACCTTGCTGGGAGACTTGGTCTTGCCCTATATAAAAGGAAGGAGCTAATTCAGAAGTAGACACAGTTTCTGTGAGCCAGAAGTAGAATGGAAAGATTGGAGTCACATAGAGGTAAACCAGTTCCTGGCAGCTTTGTGGCAACCATCAAAATGAGAAGGAAAAGGTTGGATTGAGTTGTGCCAAAGAGGAAAACCTTTGGCTCTATAACATCTGGTTGCAGAAGATCTGACACCACCAGGGCAACTCCCTATCTAAGGACTTTCCTGTAAAGAAAGTCCTGAGACAGGAACTCCTCTCCTTCCCTAACTGTTGCCTTTCTATCCATAGAGTCTGACATTAAATCATCTTTTTCATTAGCAAAATGTTTTTGGCAACCTGAATATTGTTTCAACCACAAAGAAGCCAGGGATTAGCCAGAGAAGAGTAAAAATGTAAATTCAGGCATAGAGACCAATCTCTCCTTAAATGTTAAAAAAAAATAAATTATTTATAACTGGAAGGTTTGGAGTGATTGTGATTGAACTTATGGCTTTCCCCCCCCGAAATAAACTCCCTAAAGCCACAGAGGAACAAACCACATGAAATTTAGGATCCATATTTCCCCTGTGCTCTAAAGGAGCTCATTAGAGCATTAGCATGTCATAGTAGAAACTTTCACTTGGCAAAACTTCTGTCCTGGCAGCTTCTCCAAGGGAACTTCTCATCTCATATTGTGAATATTAGTACATAATTCGATTTAATAAACATTTATTAGGTGCGCACTATGTATTGGGCACTGTGCTAGGGATAAAACAAACAAGCAAAAAAGAAAGGCAAGCCTTGTCCCTCATAACTTAATGAGGGAATCTAGAACACAAAAAGAAGTTTTTTAAGGGGGAGAGGCAAGTAATCGGTACCCTGATGGGGATACAGGGTCATGCTGTTCTATGAAATTGAAACCAAGCAGAGCTGCTGATGAAAAATGCAATTACCTTGGAAGTTCTGAGCCTTCTATAAAGGAAGACTTTGGGAGGAATTTAATACTCCACCCTCCAAACCTCCAGTTAGAGGGGAGTGGCAAATGAGAGAACTGAGAAGGTGTTTTGAGTATCAAAAATGATAAAATTTGCATGGTGATGAGATTTTAAGTGATCAGTTTATCTTAGGGGAGGCATAATGCTCCATATAGTCCAAACCAAGCCGAGCTACTGATGGAAGGTGGAGAGTAAATAACCTGATAAATTGATAAACATTTTCAAGATCACCATTACAATAATTATAGATTATGTACCAGTTTCTGTGGCAGAGAATAAGGGAAAGAGAAATTTTATGAAGAACTTGATAAGACTTCAAATTAAATAAAGATATGCTTTAATACATGATGCCTTAAATGCAAAAGTGTGTGTAAGGAAAGATGGCAAAAATTGCACTGGAAAGTATGATTCAAGAGTAAGAAAAGAGAAGAGGTCAAAGACTTATAAACTATATGGAAGACATGCTTTTATATCAAGAATGCTTTCTTCGAGCAGTGGCTAGAGTAAAATTTATTATGCTTCAGCTAAAATTAAAAAAAAAGATAGTAATAATTATGATCTCAGATAAGCAGCAATAAAAGAAGACATAATTAAAAGAGATAAACAGGAGAATTACATTTTTTTTTCTGAAAGGTACTATGGGCAATGAATTAATATCATTACTGTACATATAGGCACCAAATGGCCTAGCATCTAAATATTTAAAGAAAAATTAGAGTAGAACTCTAATGTTGAGGGGCCTCAACTTGCCTCTTATCAGGCCTAGACAAATCTAATGAAGAAAAAAATAATTAAGGCCTAAAATAGAATTTTTAAAAGTTAGATGTGATAGACCTCTGAAAATAATTGAATGGGAATATAAGGGAGTATAACTATTCTTAGCTATGCATGGAATCTTCACAAAAATTGGCCATAT